GTCTAATTGATGACTAGTCTATAAATGGGCTATGATTAGACGTCTATTAGACTTTCACTGACAGCCCAAATTTAGCCTCGTTTTAGCCTAGACGTCTAGACTATATTTTTGACATCTAATAGACGTCCTTTAAACGCAAAATTGCTTGCTGGGTATATTGGTTTCTTTTTTTTTATTAATCTGTCTGGATCATAGAACGGGACTCTCAAAGCCTTGACATCCAGGTATCCGGGAGACAAGTCAGTAAATTCAAGTAAAATCACAGGCTTCGCTTATCCCGTGCGAATGCATCACACGAAATTCAGATGTGGCAGGGTAATTTCAAAATCACACAAGGTCCCCAGATAATACTAATCCCGTGCGAATAGGGCATTTTTTTCCTTGTAGCTGGAAATCAGCTCACAGACAATTTGCGGGCTATATAATTTTTTTTTTTAATAATTCCAGTCTTGCTCGAGAACTGTCTGACGCACGCGGGTTCTCTCGTTATTTCCTTATCAATTCTCGCCAGTGTTTTGTTGTAAAACGTAGTTTGCCAGACAGAGTTGTCGGCGACTCTTCCTATTGTAAAGTCACGCAGTGTGTAACCTCCGGTCACCGATCCATCATGCAATGTGAACACAGTAGCGACTGACTGCTACCTCAGATAGTTGAGCAGTGTGAAAAACGATGGTGACCCAATGACTTTGAAAATCATGTAGTGTGAACGCGGCCTTAGCCTGCTCCGGACCAGATTAGTTTCCCAGCATAAGTTGCCAGAGTGACTGAGCTGGAGCTATGGTAATTTTGCTTTATGAAACCAAATCAAGTGACAATAAGTCAGAATAACTGAAATAAGCCTGGCTTATTTGGTAAACTAGTTTCATGAAACAGCCCGCAGGTCTCAGGGAGAGGAACTTAAAGCACTGATGCCAGAAAGCAGTTATGTGAAAAAACAGCCAAAATAAAACCAAAAACACCAACTATTTAAGCAATCATCTGTTTGAGCAAACATGCCATATGAATAAAGCACTGGATTGAAAAGATCTCCAGTAAGTGTAATGCAAAATTCCCATGACCATTTCAATGACCATGTTGCAGAACATTTCCTTTACCACATCCCCGACCACTCCCTTCACCGCTTCCCTGGCCCTGGCCACGGCCGCTTCACTGGCCCTGGCCCCTGGCCGCTTCACTGGCCCCTGGCCGCTTCCCGGACCACGTGGTTCACTGCATGCAAAGCCACCCATGGTTGGGCAACATTTCTGTGTGGCAGGACACTGGCCATCATGGAAACAGCTTTTAGCACACGGTGGAATCATCTCCGGTATGGGACATTGACCCGGCTTCACTGCGTGGACACAGATAGTCAGCTTTAGTTTGTGCATATAGACAGTATGCCACTTCAATATACAGCACGAAACATTCAAAGCATGAATAGCAAGTTTAACCTATAAAAAACTATTTTAAGCATTATTCCTCTTTTTGTAAAGCTATCCTGCACTTAAAACTACCCTAAGGGATGAATTCAAACCTACTTCTGACAAGAACCAAAAGGCAAAGTCTCTGCTTAAAACTAACATTGAATTCAATGCGTTACTCGTGTGTGGGTTTTTTTTTTGGGGGGGGGCATTAACTGAAACTCACTGAAAACAGGCAGCACGCAAACAGGCCCAGTGTCAAATCGACAGCATTTGTGTCCTCCAGGGCAGTCTTTATCAGAAGAACATCCTCGATGGGACGGCACGACCGTCAGCCTCGCCGGACAGAAACCGTCCACTAGAGGATTCAAGAGGATCATTAGGGGAGGCCAGGGAGTGCGGTTTCAGCATTTGTAAATCAGGGTTTCGCAATGTCTCAAACCTAAATACAAATTACATATTTGTCTGCTTCAAATCAAAAGCGTTTTAAAACCTAATTCCTAAACTGTGTTGATTACTTTCAAAGACTGAGAATCACTTATTTCTGCATTTCTTCAGGCTGTGTAATGAAGTCAACAGATCTTCTCACCTGTGGTTCGTCTTTGAATAGCGTGAGTTTTGCTCAAGTACCCGAACAGACACGATAAAACAGCAATCAACAAGAAATACACTCG